CGTTTCACGCGGAGAATACAATACCTGTCCGGTTCGTCTGGTTGCACCAGCTTCAAATGAACCGTACATACAATATTATGCCTGTAAAAGAGAGAAACTTAACAGGTACAATATTAATAGTAACATGCACAACAATGCAATCGAAAGTTGCGTGACAACGCAATGCACTAACAATTGCGAATGAGGGACGCAAGATAGCGCGATGCGCAAAGTAGCGCGATTGAAATGCATGCGAAATGCGAGCAAGGTGCACAAAACAGTGCAATGATATGCAAATGATATGCAAAATAACAAAACAATGTAAAAACAATGCAAATGATATGCAATGCATTTGAAACATAATCAAACCATAAGCGGTTCAAAACCACACAAATGTCATAAGGGTGATGGAGATACAAAGTCCGTCTACCTTAGAAAAGGTGCCGCAACCCTCAAACCACAATACTAGCAGTTGAATAGGCGCGTACACATGCAGAACTATGATGATATGCAATGCATTTGAAACATAATCAAACCATAAGCGGTTCAAAACCACACAAATGTCATAAGGGTGATGGAGATACAAAGTCCGTCTACCCTAGAAAAGGTGCCGCAACCCTCAAACCACAATACTAGCAGTGGAATAGGCGCGTACACATGCAGATCTATGAGTAATGTAGAAGGACACAAGAACAAGTAATTGGGTGGAATGAGATAAGGAAGGCATGCTCTGTTGAGGAAAGACCATGATCCTAAATGCTGGACGCAACAAATTACACTACAATGTAATATATACAATGGATAGTATCTTGCTTAGGAAAGGCATGGACCCATACAAACCGCGTCTAACACAGAAACGGTGCCGTCACCCTCAAACCACAATACCAGCAGTGGAATAGGCGCGTACACATAATATCACAATTATGCTTCGACGTGAAAAATATGGGCACATACCAGACCAAACTCAACATGGAAAGGCGCAAGCCGTAAATGGTGGTGATGCAATAAATGCATGCAAGCTACAATGCAATATATACAACGGATAAGGCCTACGGCCAAACCGTATCTTGCTTAGGAAAGGCATGGACGCATACAAACCGCGTCTAACACAGAAACGGTGCCGTCATCCTTAAACCACAATACCAGGAGTGGAATAGGCGCGCACACATAATATCATAACTGTGCTTCGACGTGAAAAATATGGGCACATACTCGACCAAGATCAACACGGAAAGGCGCAACCCAGAAATGGAGGTAATGCAATAAATGCATGCAAGCTACAATGCAATATATACAACGGATAAGGCCTACGGCCAAACCGTATCTTGCTTAGGAAAGGCATGGACGCATACAAACCGCGTCTAACACAGAAACGGTGCCGTCATCCTCAAACCACAATACCAGCAGTGGAATAGGCGCGCACACATAATATCATAACTGTGCTTCGACGTGAAAAATATGGGCACATACCAGACCAAGCTCAACATGGAAAGGCGCAAGCCATGTAAATGGACGGTGATGCAATCAATGCATGCAAGGTACAATGCGAATATTATCAAATATGCAATGGAATGTATGTAAATCAATATTTACAGTGAATGCATGCAATATGCACTATATACAGGGATGCATGACATATGCAATATTTACAATGATGCATGGCATATGCAAATATTTACAAGGTAATGCATGACATATGCACTATTTACAACGTAATGCAATGACAATATGCATGTTTGTTTTTTTGTTATGTTTTTTTTTTTTTGAAATGCATGATACGTGCATGATAATGCAAATGAAACGAGTGCGTGACGACGCACGTCTTTGAGACGCATGACAATGCGCAAGATTTTGAATGCGTGAAACCAGCTCTTTCCTTAGCTCAAAACCAGCTCAAAAACTTCAAGAACAACCTAATGGCTCCTCAGCAACCAAGGTAAGGTGTGAAACTAGGTTTTTGTGCCACAAAGTAAGCACAAACACACATTATACAGAAAGAGAGGGAGATATAGGATAGAATAGATACACCTATGGCTAACCGTAATCCAGACCTCTGGAACTCGACCCTCTAAACCTTGAAAGGGAAGGAGAAGCCCTCCTCTTATAGAGGATCACTATTGGAAAGCTTACAAGACAAGCTAAGGAAGAGTGCGAATCCCTCCATATACGTTTGTGGAGGGGGTGCAAGTGTATGCCAGCTAGCACAACTGGCATAAAAATATATGTAAAAGCAGATGCACAGTGGTCGGCCAGCCAAAAATGACAAAATGCAAAATACATGGTCGCTGACCATCAATAGTGCCGACCGGCCAAATATATGGCCGATGACAACAAACAATGGCCGTGGCCTCAAGCCATGCGCGTTGAGGTTGGTGAGGATGGGCAACAAGCCATTCCTACCTCCAAAGCAAAAACACAAGTGTTTGGCGCAAAACCAAACACAAAAACAGTCGAGTCGAGTGATCCTGAGGCAGGCGCGTGGCCGAGACCTCCGATAAACTCAATACGAACACGAACATGGATCATCACCGGTGTTCAAACGGTGACGTCCAAGTCTTGAGGACGGTCAAAAATGGGGTTCTCACAGTGCCCTCTTTGATAGAACTCGAAAGTCATAACAAATGACGGGAGTGAGTGTCAAAGCCCGAGAACACCCATTTTTTGACAAGGCAGAAGATTTAGAAAAAGCATACAAGACAATAAGATATGCGCCCGAAGGCAGGGGCAAATGCAACTGACAATGTACAAAGCCGAGCATAACTTATAATCATGCAAAGAAAGCTGTAACGAAGCATAATACA